AATAGCCCAACTAAGAAGGTTCCCATTCTCTCCATTTTCTCTTAGTTATTGGCTTGAGCCTAATTATTATATCATAATAGAGAGAGGTTGCCGGATCACAGAGATAGCCTTGATTTCTCAGTAAGAAATTTTGAGATTTTCTCAGCTCTAACTGCCTCGACCAAAATAGCTATCTTTGGTTTCATAACACTAGAGCTTTTAACTATACATTTATTCAATAACTATTTGAGTTACTTACCCTCCTAGCTGGTAAGCATCATAAGATCAGAGGCCATGTCTTTGTTCATGACTATGTCTGTGTGTCTAGTACATGTGAATATTTTTTAAATGAATGATTGATTCTGGAATGTTTGGTTGAAGACCACTAGAATGGACTCAGAGGGTCCTCCTGAGGAACTGCAATTTGATCTGAAAGCTCAAATTTCTTCATTTCTCCTTTTACCAGTGCTTACAGGTAACTTGCCTACAGTTCCATAGGCTTTTCTTCTCATAAAACTTAGGATTTCTTATTTGTAGACTTACTAAGTATGTTAAGGTTTAATAAAATTCAATATGAGGCATTATTTTAGTACATGTGAAATCATGTGTTTGAGCTCATGTTCTGATTTGTAGGTTAGCAATACAGGACTTAGCAAGGTTCCTCTCCAGTTGTTTTTTAGTTAGGAAGTGAAAGCAAGTGGGTTGGGGGCTGGCTCTTAGGATCTTTTGCCCTGCCCAGGTAAGCCACTCGTAATTGTTGGGCCTAACGGGAAATTGTATTTTATCCTCTCTGGCGGAATGGGGAGAATCTCCGACACCATAAGGACTAGAAAACCAGGGTTTAGAGAGAAATAGCCCAACTAAGAAGGTTCCCATTCTCTCCATTTTCTCTTAGTTATTGGCTTGAGCCTAATTATTATATCATAATAGAGGGAGGTTGCCGGATCACAGAGATAGCCTTGATTTCTCAGTAAGAAATTTTGAGATTTCCTCAGCTCTAAATACCTTCCTTATTTCTGACTCCATGTGTCCACTCACGCCCTGGAGGCCATACGTTATTATGGCCACCATTTTGAGCTTTTGTAACACTGAGATGTTTGGAGATCTCATGAACTCTACCTTTAGAAGATTCTCCCATAGAACAGCATTCAAGAGAGTTCCCACTTAGTCCTTAGGCATAAGGCTGTTTTGGGTTCACCATATTCAGATTTATGAGCACAGAAGACCATGGACCTGAACTTCTCAGTCTCTCAACATGTTCATGAAGAAAATCAAGGCTAAAGCCAATTTCAGATAGCCTCACTCAGCCTTTCTGTGCAAAGCTAATATTACTCCTTATGAATTAAAGCTTAATTCAGACTATCTAAGGTGGCATGCATATTTAGATATTGACATACTTAAGGTATTGTTTTTGGAATGACAGATTAATCTTCATTATCCCCACTGTTGATAGATAACAGGCGTATGGCTAATACAGAAAAATAGGTGGTCCAGAAATAATTTATTCTTGATTTTGGAGTGAACTTTTATGATCATATTTGAATTTGGGTGTGTAGTCTAGTGGTTAATGCCAAAGCTAGTAGTGAAGTCACAGCATAAAGAGATGAGTCACCCAGCCTTCCTGTTGTGATCCCAGCCTACTCCACGCTGGAAATGGCACTTTCTCTTATTGACTCAAAGATTTCACTTATGACTTCACTGGAACAGGATAGTTGAAAGTTGATTTACAAAGTCTTCTTGGCTAAGAGAGAAAATAAGTAGTGTATAGTGTCTGCATTATAAAATATTAAGTAAAATAGGTGTTAGCAATACCAAATATTACAGATCAAGCTTGTCAGTACAAACAGAGTACACTGTACTTTCTCTAAAAGTAGTCTTCTTATTTTCACCATAGATTAACATCTTAGCTGTTCTGATTCACTGCTTTCTTCCCTTTGCCCAGATGTATGGAAAAATTATGAATTTTGTTCTTTTGAAAATATAGGTGGTTTATTTACCCTCTAATCCTAAATGAAGAATGCTTTTTCTTGAAATTCAAACTAGTGACATTTGCATCGTCACCTCTTGTCTTTGGGATCTGTCCATTTCTCTCAGTCTTTTCACCACGTCCTTTGTCCAAGCAACTATCATCTTTTCCTCTGGATCTTTGCAGTAGCCTCCAGCTGTCTCCACGGACATGCTCTTCCCTCCTCCAATCTGTTCTCCACATGGCAACCAGTAATCTTTTCAAAATACATCTCATTATGAGACTCCCACATATATAAAATCCATTTTTCCAGTGTTAAAAGTCACTGTCCCTAACTTGGCCTATGAGGCCTCAATGGTCCTGCCTGTCTGGCCACCTTCATCTCCTGTCACACTGCACCAGCCACTCTGACCTTCTTTCAGTTCTGGATCACACCATGGTTTTTCCTTCCCCACCCTAAGGGTTTTGCACATGCTGTTTTCTCTGCCCACCGTATTCTTCCTTCTCCTTTTCTACCAGTTCACTCCTGCCAATTTTTAAATTTCAGCTTAATTGTTCACAAGGTCAAATATTTTTTATTAATCGTTCTTATAGGACCAAGTACTTCCTCTTCACAGCAGTTATCACAGTAATTTTTAGTTCATGTCTGTGGTTCTTTGATTAATTTTTGATTCTATAGTATAAAGCTCTATGGTTTCAGATACGATGTTCTGCTCACCATTGTATGCTGTGCCTTACACAGTGCCTGTCACACGGTAGGAACTTAGCGAGTGTGTGTTGATTGAGTGGATAATTTCTGAGAGTGAGAAGCAAGAGATACGGAAACTCACAAGTATCCGCCTCAATTAATGGGGGGAGAAAAGTTGAGGGAGGGATGTGTAACACCAAGCCTTGCCGTATTTACATTTTCATTTGCTTTCGAAATAACATAATCTGCAGTTACAATAAGCAACCGGCTTGTTTTTATTTTTCTTTTCAAGGAAATGAATGAGGATCATAGCACACCCAAGAAAGAAAAGCAAGAGCGGATATCCAAGCATAAAGAGAACTTGCAGCACACGCAGGCCGAAGAGGAAGCCCACCTTCTCACTCAACAGAGACTGTACTACGACAAAAACTGTCGTTTCTTCAAGCGGAAAATAATGATCAAGCGGCATGAGGTGGAGCAGCAGAATATTCGGGAGGTATTTATTAAGTTCATAACTGTTGTTATTAACTTAGAAGACAGAAAGCTATGTGAGGGTCATGACCATGTCTGTTGTCCATTCCTCCTATATCCTTAGCCTTTATAGCCTTTAGCACAGTGACTGACACAGAGTAGGTACACAAAAGTAAGGAAATGAGTTTACCATCAATGAGAGAAAGCCCATTTGCAGAACAAGGAATCAACTTTTTCTAAATAAATGTAATAGAATTTTATTGAACACATGCAATAAACCATATCATGTAATAAAGAATCAAAAGAAGTAGCACAGAGAATTTTTGCTTTCAGCCTGCTCATCAAGAACTTGTGTTTTGTGACTGCACGTGAAACATTTAAATAACAGTGTGATGCTCTAAAATTAAGTTCATTCATTTAGTTGTCCAGCACTCGGAGTACCTCTTTTGTGCCAGGGCCACTGAGCATCTATACTCCCTGCCTTCACGTGGCCCTAAGTCTAAGGGGAGAAATAGACATGTAACAGACTAATTTCAACATAATATGTTAGGTACAATAATAGACCTAGAAATAAAGTATCATGGGCCTACTGTCGTGAAAGGGCTTGGAGGATTCAGTGATTGATGAGACGTTGAGCATGACCAGAGTTCTGAGCGTGTGGAGTGGAGCGCAGAACAAGAGTGGTTGGAAGAAGAATGTGAAGGGCCTTGTTTCAGGCAAGGCATTTCCATTTTAGCCTGAAGACAGTGCGTGGCCATCAGAGGTTTTTAAGCAGGGGAGTGACATGATGAGACATTTCATTATTTGGAAAAATTAGCATCTCAGTGTGAGAGATGGGCTGGAGCAGCAAGAAGCAAAGTATAGTGACGTCAGCCGAAACGCACTTTCTCTAGTTCTAGCCTGGAAGATGTTATGTGGACAGAGAGAGGAGATTAGCTCTCAGGGATATTTCTGAAGGAGAACTGACAGTAATTATGACCAAGTGGATGTGGGAATTTCAGAAGAGGAAGTCAAAAATGACTTCCAAGTTTCTAATTTGGAAGGTTGGATGGATATGACGGCATTCACTGAAATGAGGAATACAGAATGGGAATCAGTTGCAGATAATAAATTCAACAGGAAGTCATGGCAACCTGGAGTAATCAAAGAAAACCTCATAAAGGAGCTAGCACATTGGTAAAAGTATCAAACTTTGATTAAAAAAAAATTGTTAGCCTACATAAGGGAAACAAGTACTTCAAGCAGAGTTAATGGAACAGTGAATTGGTATAAGCTTTTTAGAGAGCCGTATTAAGATAGGAAGAAACAAGAGAGTGAAGCAAACTAAAATTTGTTGAACATATATAATTATAGGCCAGACTCAGGCTCTTTATATGTGTTATCTTATTGGAAGAGGGAGAAACTGCTGAATTTTTTTTGATTAGGTCCGTGATACAGGTAAAATTTTCCTTTTTGGTAATCTCCTGAGAGATTAGCCCAGTTTGGCAGTGATACACAGATTGATTAGAACATGGATTCTCAGTGGGGACAATAATGGGTTCTGGTCAGGGGCAGGTGTCTTAGATATCCTGACAGCTTGTGGCAGTCTGCAGGGCCACAGTTCATAGACAGATGCACAATCTATTTGTGGTATTAACATTTCAGTGATGGGAATGATTAAAGGGGAAAAAGTCTTAAAAAAATTCCTTATGGAGTGATAATGAATACAAAAACTTGAGAAACACTGGATTAGAGGGAGGAGACTTAGAGGCAAAGATCAGGTGGTGGAAAATAGGGTATGGCTAGTCTGGTGGTAGTAACTATCAAAAGAGAGGTGAATTTGAACTCAATTTGAAGTATATAATCACTAGCACTCTGGGACGCCGAGGCGGGAGGATTGCTTGAGCTCAGGAGTTTGAGACCAGCCTGAGCAAGAGCGAGACCCCGTCTCTACTATAAAGAAATTAGCCAAACAACTAAAAATAGAAAAAATTAGCCAGGCATGGTGGCGCGTGCCTATAGTCCCAGCTACGTGGGAGGCTGAGGCAGGAGGATCGCTTGAGCCCAGGAGTTTGAGATTGCTGTGAGCTAGGCTCATGCCACGGCACTCTAGCCCAGGCAAGAGAGTGAGACTCTGTAAAAAAAAAAAAAAAAAGATGAAATATATAATCAATACGACTTGGCATACAATAAGATATGAGAGAAAAGATGAGGATAGAATCAAAATCATTTCTAGGGTTTAAGACTCAGGGAAATGTAGATTTTGGGTAGAAATAGAGAAGCTTAGAGAGAGGTTAAGAAACTGACTTCGGTACTGGACCTATTGAGTTTGGCAGAAGTAAAAAATCAAAACGAAAAAGTCCAGTAGCCAGTCGGAAATAAGGTATTTGGGATTCTTTTCATGTGGCAATTTTTATTGTTATTCTAATAACACATACTTGGAGGAATTCTAAGGCTAAGGGGACAATTAGTATTAATAAAAGCTATAGAAGATAATTACTCCCCAAAATGGATAAAAACTGTGTTTGTTGGCTTCATTAGTATTAGGTTCTAACCAATTGAGCCAAGAATAACTCTGTAATGATATTTTTCTTGAGACTCCAGAGTTTCCTTTGTTTAGTCTTAGAGCCACCTTCATGAAAATGTCCAAAGCTTTTTTTTTCTGTTTACAAAAGTAGTAAAAGAACATTGAAGGGTGCGGTAGCACACGCCTATAATCCCAACTACTCAGGAGGCTGAGGCAGGAGGATTGCTTGAGCCGAGGAACTCAAGTCCAGCCTGGGTAACATAGCAAGACCTCAAAAAAAAAAAAAAAAAAAAATGGAAAAAAGACAAATACAGAAAAGCATAAAGCTAGGTAGTGAAAGTTCTTCTTAACAGCTTTATTGAGATACCATTCACATATAAAAATTATACATATTTAAGGTATACAACTTGGTGTTTTGATGTATGTATACGTTGTCAAGTCATCGACATATTCAAGCTAATTGACATATCCATCACCTCCACATAGTTACCATTTGTGTGCATGCATGCATGGTAAGGAGGAGACATAGGAAGATTTAGGATCAGTCCTCTTAGCAAATTGCAAGTATGCAATACAATATTGTTAACTGTCATCACCATGTAGTACATTCAATCTCCAGAAATTATTCATCTTGTGTAACTGAAACTTTTTATCATTTGACCAACATCACCTCATTTTCCCCTTTTTTGATAATACCATTCCACCCAGTCTCTACCCTGAGATAGTCACAGATACTTTTCTCCTATGTATTAAATACACACGTGTAGCTCTTATATTATATATGACTTTAACCTTACAAAAATGAGATGACTTTTGTATCAGTAGGGTTATTTGACTTGCAAGAAATAGAAACAAACTCTGGCTGACTTAAGCATGAAAAGGAATTTGTTGGAAGGATATGGGGTAGGTGACAAAGCTGAAGAACCAAGCCGGAAAAGATGAAGATCCACGCTGGAAAAGCCACTCCATGACAGAGAGCAAGAGCTCACGGACACTTCCCAAGACACTGCCATTTGGATGTGTCTCCTCCAACTGCATTTAATCTTTGTATCATTTCTGTTCAAAATTCAAATTCTAGGAGAGAGAGAACTTGATCAGGTAATGTGTCTCACCCTGACTCAACGCTCTCTCTGATTCCTGGTAGAGTCCAGTCAGTAGTTTCTCAAAGCAAAAAAGGAGTCTGTACACAGAAGCAGGAAAATGAATGCTGAGCCTACAAAAAGTAACATATGTCCTCTTTATTGTTCTGTAACTTTTACCCGCATTTACTATCGAGCATATACAGCTCTGCCTCATTCTTTTTAACCTAATAGTATTTTGTTATATGGCTATAAAATCATTTATTTAATGAGGCACTTCTCAGTAGACATTTTGTTGAAGTTTTGCAATATTACTAACCATACAACGGAGAACATCTTTGTACATAGATGTTTTTACATGTAAACAAGTATTTTTGTAGGATATATTCTCAGAAGTGGAATTTCTGAGTCAAAGAGTATATACATATAAATTTTTACATAGATACTGCCAAATTGCCCTCTCAAGGGGTTTATACTCCCACCAACAAAGCATAAGAGTGCCTGTTTTTCTGTATCTTTGCCTAAACTAAGTATTAGCAGTCCTTTTAATTAGTGAAAACATTTAAGAGGATCACTGTAAACTGGGTTGAGCCTCTTCCTCTATCACCGCCACACACAGATGCTATCTTCTGACCAGTGTTGAAACCAAGAACTGAAACTAAGAAAGCATTAAATGTCATAGGCTGACAGAATCTCCATTTAAAAGTTTGAATTCTAGTTTTTACTCTAGTTTTTAGCTTTAGTGGGTATGAGGATAAAAATTTGGCATGAGTGAGATTAACTGCTTAGAATACAGTCAGGGAAGGGGATTTTAGGGGACGCACCTGGAGCTCCATCTGATACAGCAGGTAGCTTCACAGAGTATGGTAATATGTTAGATGCATGAAAAGTATGTGTGTTTCAACACTCAGCTCACGCCCAGCTTAGCGAGATGCTCACAGTGTGTGATGTGGGCTGAGGGCAAGGAAGCTGTATGTCTCTCACCTCACACTCCCTCCAGGACATATATAATATTATCTTTGCTCTGCTCATTTTGTTGAATTTTATAAGCTAAAGGTGAACATGATATTGCTCTAATGTATTAAACTGATTGCATCATTTGTAAAGCAACCATTGCCCATGTCTGCAGCAGAAGAATTCTGCAGAATATTGTATCACAGACTGAAAAACAGGACAATATAAGTAATTTATTGGGAAATCTTTTAATGGAAAATGTTCAAAAGCTGAAAACCTGAGTTTAGACTCAGTTCTGCTTTATAGACATTGTCTGACCTTATGTTAGTCCCTCAATTCCCAAATGCCTATCACATATAAAAGGGGTAAATCCTTGCAGTCTTACCACTTCCCAGGGTTGCACTTAGGATTGAATGAGATATATGAAATAACTTTTAAACATTGAAAGCACATTACACATTATCATGTAGGCACAGCACTTGGCTCATAGCAAGCTGAATAATATTTGCCCCATGATTTAAATTTTATAGACAGCTTACTATCTTACACTTCAGCACCTCAGATGTACGAATTAAAGGGAACAACTTGCAATTGTAACAGAAAAGTCATTTCAGTACCATGCTTCTCTCTTTTAATGGTTTATGAAAACTAGATTTAAGATATTATATGCCAGATACTCATTTCTGAATACAGAAAAATAATGACATATTTATGTATTCTGAAACATTTTCTTATAGTCTTTCATTTCATCTTCACAAGCATGGTAGTTGACATGGTGGGTGCTGTTATCCTCACTTTACACCTGAAGCAACTAAAATGTAGATTAAGAGACTTGCCCAAAACCATACATAATGAGTTCGTGGAGGAGCTGAAACTGACTCACACCCTGAGCATTTTTCCATTGATTCTCAAACTTTGGTATAAATCAGAATTAGCTGGGTACCTTGTTTAAACACCAATCACTTGTAACTCAGATAATTCTGATGTAGATATTCTGTGGATAGTATCCTGAAGCATTCCATTACACATGAAGAGAAGCACTTGATCTCCTTTCAAAGTGTTCATTTGCTTTGTGTCTTTTATTCCCCCCTCCCACCCCCATGAGTTTCAAGGCTGTGGGCAGCTTAGACTCAGTTTGGACTTCTCAATTTAGGAACGTGTGGGATGTCTAAATGCCCAATATTGGGATTCCTGGCACACAAAGGTCAAAAGTGATGTAGTGACCTAGGAACAGAACCTTTGTTAATTTAAAGAGCTTTCCTTAGCTTTCTCTTGATCATTGGTCTGGGATAGCTTTAGTCTGTGGGAAGGGCTCAGTGTCCTTTGGTGCCACCTAGGGGCCCGTTACCAATTTTTAAAAGAAATTTGATGGTTCCAGGTAAACAAGAAAAATAAAACAAGGAAAAGAAAAACACAGAAGGAGATGGGGAGAGAAGCTCTAGGACATTATCTTTTATTCCTGAAAACAAATTTAAATTGCATTGATACTCTGGATATTTCCACACTAGAAACTAAGGTCCATGAGGGAGTGGACTTGTTCACTGTTCTTTCCCTAGTGCCTGCAACAGTGCCTAACGCATAGTAAGTGCTCAACAAATATTTGTTGAATAAATAAATGAACGATTAATGACTGTGCTCTGGTACTAGGTGCTGTGCTATTTAAAGGATTTCTCTTCAAATGGATGGGGGCCCAAGTATGCAAGATATTCTCGGCCACACCAATATACAAATGTTATTGATATTTCTATGAAAATATAAATGACTTGCATTTTCTCTCATGGTGGATGCCATCAGAGAAGAGAGGCACCCTGTTGTTCTAATTTAAAGTCCAGCTCAAAAGCTCTCTCCTTTCCTTGACCTTTTAACTAATACTAATACCACCAAAAATATTATAGCATAAAATCTTAACCTCATTTATAACACGTATCACTTCCAACCTTGCTTTCTCTTTTTTTTCACTTGCACATTTCCCTGTATTAATTAAAATTCTTTTGTTTGCATGTTAACTGAAATTTATTTGAGCTAGCTTAAGCCCAAACCAGGGAATTTGCTATAGAACTATAGGAATGTCTCATAAAACCCAACAGCAGTAGTACAGCTGGACTTACAGGAGGGTTTAGGAACCAGTGAGGAACTTAGGCATCGATATATTCCCTGCACTGCTGTCTTTCTTTCTTATTCTTCTTGCTCTGAAGCCCAGCTTTCTCTAATCCTCAGCCCTCATAGCAGCAAACGACTGCCACGTATGTAGTTTCTATATGCCCTTCAGTTTCAGCCACACACAGAGATGAACTGGTTCTGAATGCCAAGTCCAAATTCTTAGTAGAGAAAATAGACAGGCCCAGGTTGGGCCACCATCTTCCTCTGACTCAAGTCAGCTTTGAGCCGAACATATACATCGATAAATGTCTATTAAACTTCCCTATACAAGTGTTAGCAAGTAGAAAACAAAAGTCATGGCTTAATAAACATTTTTATGTCCCTAGAACACATGGTTCGATCTGTATATATATAATGCCATTTAGGAAATATTCTTGAAATGGTGAATGAAAAGTTTTACCCAACTTCCCCTTTTTTTCTAGTTTGCTTTCCTTTCCCCCTTGAACAACAACAAAAAGACAGACAGACATGAATAGAACTGAAAAAGCAGAGTGGTTAGATCTAGAAATGATTGAACAGACTAATGGGAAAGATGAAAGAGGAGGGAGCTCATCAGTTTTTTCTCAGCATGCTGAACTCTGAGTTTTAAAAAATAGATAATTGGCCTACTTCTGACAGGAGCAAAAACAGGGTATTTCCCAGAAAGCTAAGGACATTGCAGATGTTACCAGTTTAATTCAGTTTAAGTCTCAACCCTGATTGCATATGAGAATCACCTGGAGAACTCTTTAAAAATATTGACATCAGCATCCTACCCCAGACAGTTATGAGAATTTCAGGTTGTGAGATTTAAGGATCTTACGTTTGAAAAGCTTCCTCACATGATTTGAATGAGAACCTCTGGCTTAGCTGAAGAAACATTACTTTAGACCTATGCATAGCACATCACCTAATTAAGGTTCATAGCAGCTCTGTGGGTAAGAGGGAATCAGGTAGAATTAATCCCATTTTATAGACAGTGCACTTGTGATTGCTATGAAGATGCCCATCTTGTCAGTGGTGGACCCAGGAACAGAACCTAAACCTCCAGGGATTGTTCATCTAATCTCATTAGGTCCTGCTGCCACACACTAATGGGTTTAATTAAGAGGTAGTTAGCAGTGCCATCCCTTGCTATCCCTCACTTAGTTGTACATTCCCTCCAATTCATCTGCGTTCATCTCTCCATTTATCTTTTGTTCCTGGATGCAGGAACTAAATAAAAAGAGGACCCAGAAGGAGATGGAGCATGCCATGCTAATCCGGCACGACGAGTCCACCCGAGAGCTAGAATACAGGCAGCTGCACACGTTACAGAAGCTACGCATGGATCTGATCCGTTTACAGCACCAGACTGAACTGGAAAACCAGCTGGAGTACAATAAGAGGCGAGAAAGGGAACTGCACAGAAAGCATGTCATGGAACTTCGGCAACAGCCAAAAAACTTAAAGGTAAGAAGAGAGAAATATTTCCCTTTCTTGGGCTTCTGGACGTAGTTGGACTGGAGCAGTGGTTTCCATACCTGGATGATTATCAGAGTCACTGAGGCAACTCTTCACAATCCCAGATTTCTGGGCCCCATACCTACTGTATCTCCAGATGTAAAGCGCAGAGTCTATATTTGATAAGCTCCTGAAGAGGGGATGCCAAAACTTGTTTGGAAACCATTATACTACATGATGTCTCAATTTGTCTTGGTATCCAATTTCTCTGAGCGCTTCATGACCTGCCCTCTTCAAAATTGAACTAATAGGGGTTCATGGATCTGATCCCAGGAAATGAGAAAGTTAAATTGACATTAGCTACCTTGAATACTGCTGCATTGAAAAAGACCCTAAAGCCACATCCAAGCTCAGTAGGAAAGAGTGTGATTTATTAGTGATGGTGATCAGAGTCAGGAATGAATCTACACATGCCAGGCATTTACTACACCTGCACGAGTGATGTTCAGAGGAACTCTTTGGCCTTCCCTGCCTCCAGCTAATTTTAGCTGGCCACTAGTGACCAAGCTGTATGTACTAAGCCGTTGCCGTGTGTCAGGGAGGACATTGTCAGTGTTGGCAGAGATATGAGGCCAACCTCAATCACATTGGCCATGCAGCTCTTCCAGCCAAACCCTAAGCTAACTAGTCACATAAGTCCTCAGAGTATTCACGAAATGCACATGTGACTATGGGGCATCCCGATGGAATGCCTTCTGGGCTTAAAGTAATACACTTTCTCTTTGCCAAAATGCATATTTGATACTGCTATATGCAAGCACAGCCTCTTAGTGGAGGAAAAAAAAAATCTAAAATCACTTTCCTCTTTCAGTTTATGCTAAAATCCAGTGGAAATGGGTTAGGATATGAAATGCTTTCCAGATGTTCTCCTTTATTGAGTTGATAACAAAATGATATAAGCCAGAGTAGTGAGAGCTGGCTTACCTCATGCCATCCCCTTTCTCACTTGAAAACGGGGAAATGGCAAAAAATAAATAAATAAATAAAAGGGAAAAAAACAACAAACAATAGAAGACACTGAAAATTTTGACGAGAAAACCATGAAAATAGTTGCCAACGCTTTAATAAGCTAAGCTTCATAATATTCCACAATCTAGGTAGGGTTGTCATCCCTTGTAATAGTCCATGTTCTTCCTTGAAGCCATTTGTAAATTCAAAATTACTTCTATTCATTCAGTGTAAAACCAAAAGTATTGGTAGCGTTAACTCTTGTCTGTGTTGTATTTTCATTTTTATTGATGAGCAATGTGGGTCACTTCACCAAAAAACCGATGATCCCAGCACTTGTATTGTATCATTATAGCGAGGGGCTTTCTGTGTTCACTGACGTGTCTTTATGTTTCCTTTGTCACTTTTTCTACACAGGCCATGGAAATGCAAATTAAAAAACAGTTTCAGGACACTTGCAAAGTACAGACCAAACAGTATAAAGCACTCAAGAATCACCAGTTGGAAGTTACTCCAAAGAATGAGCACAAAACAATCTTAAAGACACTGAAAGATGAGCAGACAAGAAAACTTGCCATTTTGGCAGAGCAGTATGAACAGAGTATAAATGAAATGATGGCCTCTCAAGCGGTAAGTGGTTAGGTTTGGTGCCACGGCTTCGAGAGCTTTGGGAATCAAGAATCCAAGATCCAGCCTTTTGTTCCCAAGATGATTCTTGCACACATTTAGGATATTGGCGTTTTTCTGCCCGAGGAACTGAGGAGATGACGACGCCGAATAAAGCCACGCCAATGCGGATACTTGCTGGAGTGTGTCTTATAAGATGGAACTCAAGGAATGTCATGCTAAATCAGACCTGTGGCACATAGGGACTTGGAGGGCAAGATATGATAGATACCGCATATGATATCATGTGTTCACTCATCAAAGATTTACTGACTACCCTTCCCCCCACCTAATGTCAGGCACAAACGAATGTGACACGATCCTTGTCCTTAAGGAGCTCACAGTCAAGTGAGGAAGGCAGATACACAGACACGTTCATTCAATAAACTCTTCTGAGCATCTGTGTTCAGCATTCTGCTGGGCCCAGAGAGGATGAGCTAGAGAGACAATTGGTCTCTGTCCTCACACTTTTGTTAGTCAAATCAGATAATTAAGCAATAATAATAAAGCATAGTAAGTGATTTGAAGTGGGAGGCGCCGGGGGCTATGAGAGGACAAGTAGGAACAGCTAATTGTGTCTAGGGAAAGCTTCCCAGAGGGAGCCAAGAGGCTTAAAGGAATCCATTGATGTAAATAGGTTCCTTGAAAATGGGACCTACGTGGGCAAAGGTCCAAATGATGGCAAACGTGTATATGGGGACTGAAAGAACTTGGTGTGAGGCCAAAGTTCAAGGACAATTATGAGAATCCAAAATGGAGAGGTCATAGCAGTCTTGGTAAGCTAGGGACAGGAGCTTGCCTGGTAATTCAGTGAGGATTTCACAAGGAGATGTGTCCTAAAGAGTAATAGTTGACCCAACAGGCAAAAGAGAAAAAGTTATTCCTGGCAAGGGATACGGTATATGCAAAGACTCAAAGGCCTAAAAGAGGATCGCACGTTTGAGCAGCAGCGAGTAACTGCTGTGGTGGGAGTATGAATGCGAGGTTAGGGAGAGGAGGTGGATAGACGGGGGTCAGAGCCTCAGAAGCCAGGAGTTTGGACATTGTCTGTAAGCAATGGGAAACTACTGAAGCCCATTTTAGGAAGGAAAGTAACAAGATCAGATTTGCATTGTAAGATCTTGGCAGTACAGGTAAAGAGACCTGTTAGGAAGCTACTGTAATAGTCGAGGGGAAAAATGATGGTGAAGAGGGGAAGGATTTGAGAAATATTTAGGAGGTAGAATAGGAAGAACTCAGTGACCAATTTGAGAGGTAGGTTTGACAAGAGAGTGGAGTAGGTCAGCATTTTACCAAGACAGAAAAATAAAAGGAGGGATGAGTTTGGACATCTGGCAAGATAAGTGACCAAGTTGTAGACATGGTATTTGAGCTACGTGGTATCTAGGTAGAGAGGTCCAGATATGAAAAACCACAGTTCAGGAGGGATGTTGGGATTAAAGACAAAGAGTTAGACTTCATTGTTACCTGGGGGCCACGGTGGCTGTTGGGAATAGGTGAGATCTGCAAGGGACAGGAGATGGTATCAGAGAGGAAGGGGACTGAGGTCAGGGTCTGGTGGACACCAACATTTGAGGGCTGAGTAGAAGGAGACCAAAGATAACTAGTCAGAGACACAGGAGGGGACCAGAAGAGAGCATGCCACAGAAGCCAGAGCAAAAGTTTCTAACTGATGACTCCAAATGTTGCAGAGACCAATCATAGTGTAAACTTTCAGGTGTTCATTGGATCTAGCAGTGGATTTGTCCACTGCTTGTCACATACAATCGGTAGAATAGTGGGAATGGGAGACATTATAGTGGAGAGTGGTTATAAAGTGAGATAGAAACAGTAAGTGAGACTGCCTTTCCCAGATCCTCCTCAGTGAGGAAGAAGAGAACGAAAGCTGTAGCAACAGGAGACAGTTAAAGGAAGATTTCTAATAGTTGGGAGAGGCTTAAACATGTTCTTAGGCTGAGGACGAGAGCTAGTGCATTCCCCCGTCCACCTGTCCATCCAGCGAGTATTTATTGAGTGCACAATGCCCCAGGCGTCCGGGGATACTGTGCTGAATAAGACAGTCATGGATCTTGTCTTCATGAAATTTGTAGAAAAGTGGAGGAAACAGACATTGAGAGAGTCTATTCCATATAAGGCAGAGTAAGTGCAAAGTGCCAACAGAGAGTAAGACAGGAGAACTCGCCTGGTTTGGAGAGTCAGGAAAGCCTCTCTGACACACAATGTAGGCTGAGGAACCATGTGTGTAAAGACAAGGAAGACAGTGGCCCTTCTGAAGAACTCCCAGAAACCCATCACATGTGAAATATAGAGGACTAGGGGGTGACTAATGTGGGAACAAGACAGAGGGGTAGACAGGCTCCATCACACAGGGGCCTGCAGGCTTTGTTAAGAACTCTTGTCTTTGTCCTAAAAAGAATGGCCTGGGAGATGGGAAGAGCGGATGGGAGGAGATGATGTATGAAGTTGCTTTTACTCTGGGCATGAGGGAGCGGTGGCCAGACCAGAGAGAGGGCAGTCGGGATGAAGAGGGAAGTAACCAAGTTTGGCAGGAGGTAGAATTGGGAACACTTAGTGACAGATTGAGCGTGGAGAATCAGATATTCAAGATAACTCCCAGTCTCTGGTTTAAGTAAAATGGTAGATGGTGTCACTTACACATGTGGTAAACAAGGAAGTGGAGCAGGTAGGGGAGCAGGAAAGGAAAGGTGATGAGTTAATATTAGTCAAGTTGAGCGTGAGGGCCTGGGAAACGCCCAGGTGAAGGTGTCACTAGTAGACTGGATAAAAGGGAGGTCTGAAGTAGAGGTATAGATGTGGGAGTCATTTGCATATATATAAGTGGTAATTGAGGCTTTTGGAATAGATGAGCTACCTTAGGAAGAGAGGTTAGAGGAAGAAGAGGACCCAGGACAAAGCCCTGAGGGACACCCATATTTAAGGCCCAAGTAGATAGGGACTAGCTGGAAAAAGAATTAGCCAGAGGGGAAGGAAAAAACCAAGAGGCTGTGGTATCTCAGAAGATGAGAGAAAGAGTTCAGAAAGGAAGGGGCCATCAGCAGTACCACATACTGCTAGGAGGTCAAATAGCATAGGGGACCACTTCAGGGTGGTCATGGGTGACCTTGCTGTGAGCAACAGAAGTAGAGGGGTGGGATCAGAATGCCCGAAGGGGAGTACAGGGAGAGGCTAAAGGTAAGGAGAAGAGAGAGTTGATGGGACAGGCTGATAGGGCTTTTGTCTTGCTAATCCTGGTGTTCTCAGCATCTGCAACAGTGCCTCGCGCCCAGCAATGAATGCTTGTTCTATAAGATAGAGAACAGGGTCAGGAATATAGATTAATGACTGTCCTTGAATAAAAGGAGAAAAATGCCCTTTCTTCTGAGGCAGGGAGAAGATAAAAGTATCTATGATCATTACAGCTGATCTATGATCTATGATCATTTACTGACTGCTTACCCTGTGCCAGGTACGGTTTTAAGTATTTTATAGGCATTATCTCATTTCGTTTTTGTAAGTAAAACCCCTTTGAAGTTACTGTTTGAACCCGAGTTTACCTATGAGGAAATTGAGGTTTATTGAAGTAAAGACACTTGCTTAGGGCAGGGGTTGGCAAACCTTCCCAGTAAAGGAGTAGATAGTGATCAGGCTTTGTGGACCTTAGGGGCTGTGTCACAACTACTCAGCTTTGGGATTGTAGTGCAAAAGCAGCTGTAGATAATACGTAGATGAATGAGTGTATCTTTGTCCCATAAAACTCTATAAAAACAGGTAGCAGGCCACATTTGGCCCATGGGCTGTAGTGTGCCAACCCCTGGCTTGGGGGTAGGGAGTGGGCCACATAACAAATTAGTGGTGGAGCTAGGATTTGATCCCATTTTGGAGGAAGCCTATAAGCCTATATGCTTGGCCACTGCTACATTATACTGCCTCTGTTACATCTTTTTCTTCAGTTAAGCAACTTTCAGAAAACAGACATGATATTTACCTATACTCTTATAAAACTTTTTAATGGGTTTGGTATGTGTGACCTTGGGTGATGAATACCAAATACTGGAATAGCCTCTGATTTCTAGAACTGGGCTTTTGGAGTCATCGCTGGTACAGAATGACATAGTTACTGACAGTATAATAGAATGCCAGAAATAAAATGGAAATTTTCCAGTGGTCTAAACTGACCATAGGATGAACCTCTCACCCATTTGGCCAGGGCTTATAGCAACTAACGCAGACAAGTAGAAAAGAACAGCACTTTCATTTCCTTTATTGGTAAGGAACCTCCCATGTCTAGAGGGAATCAATAACAATCCTGCCGGGAGCCAGTAAATCCTTTGGCATTTGCCTGTGAGGCTGTTCCCGCTGCAGATCAACTGTTTACTGTGTCTAGCACTTCTTCTCCCGTGGTTTCTCATTGGGAAAATAAGAAGAGAGCTATCTATCCTCTTTAGTGGGTTTTCAAAAAAGCTGGTTAAGATTAATTATTAGAAGGTGCCTTGGAAATATAATTACATAATTTATTTTATGTTCCTTTAATCTCTATGGTATGTTTCTCTAGAAGTACTAAAGAAGAGACTATGCAAATAACTTTCTAAAACTATTTAAATAACATCTCAAAAAGTCATTTCTCAATCAAGATATCGAGATATACTAATTGTCACAAATTGTACATAAGGTGGAGAGTAAGTATTTTGGCAAAGTGTTCTATGTGGAAACGTGCAGATAAACTCTGGGTAGACAAAACTGTCTGATTCAAGGGTTCTGATCTCATAGTTCTTAGTCAAACTGAGGGCCTGCTAAATCTGGACAAAACCAAGCCTGGGACAAGGGAATCATCCTCCCTAAACATAGTACTGCTAATGGCCCAAAACCTTCCACTCTGCCAGTTGAAAGGTTGGCATTTCTGCTGTTTGTCTTGGTCCGTTCCCCACACAGAATCTGGGTATCTTGGTGTATAAGACAAAGTTCAGCTACCTACCCTCTACGGTGAAGAGACTGAACCATTTGAGTTTTGGATTGGCTTGCTAATAGGATAGCTTGTATAGCTAACAATAGGGGCCGACATTACTGCTACGAGCATAATAGTACTGTGGTATATTCCTCAAGTTTTATGGATATTGGATTCTTTTTTTTAGAGCTAAGAGTATCTAAATGGTTTTAGGGCTATAGACATCTAAATAAGGAAATGGCCTAGTCAAAACCAAAATAATAACAGCTACTGTTTATTGGATACTTAGTATGCATTGAGAACTATACTGAGGATTTTATATGAATTCTTTCATTTAATCCTCCCAGGAATCTCAGGAGTCTACCTCCAAAGCCCATGGGGCTTAATACCTGGCATGTGCAGCCTTCCTGACACCTGCTGCTGTGCTTTCAGACCATACTGAAAATAATGTGTTTTTAGTACTTTGTAGCCCATTGGACAGACTTTATTGTTTTTGAATCCTGATTGTGAATGTACCTGGGTCATCTGTTTTTTTGAGGGGACCCATTTCAATCCAACGAAGGAAGCCTCTTCCAGTGGTCACCAGGGGCTGTAAGCGAGGGGTCCGTTACAGTGTGTGTCTTCTGTGCCCACAGTTACGGCTAGATGAGGCTCAAGAAGCAGAATGCCAGGCCTTGAGGCTACAGCTCCAGCAGGAAATGGAGCTTCTCAATGCCTACCAGAGCAAAATCAAGATGCAAACAGAGGCACAACACGAACGTGAGCTCCAGAAGCTAGAGCAGAGGGTGTCTCTGCGCAGAGCACATCTTGAGCAGAAGGTACGAGAGCGTTACTGGGGCTCCCATTCAGCTGAGGGGGTGGGGGGAAGCAGCCACGCTAACTGCCATTTATGGACCCCTCTGTAGTTAGAGAGGGATCAAACTAGGCACTTTTCACTTACTACCTGCTTTATGCTCCTAACACCCCTGAGAGGTAGGCATTGTATCCCCGTTCTACAGGCCAAGGCACTGAGGCTCAAAACGGTTAAGTTACTTGCATAATTCTGACCCTGCATCATGAGCCTTTCTGCTGCTCTGCTGGGAAACCCTCAACCTTCACAGCCAGAGGAGTGGCATGGGTTGCGGCGGGGGTGTTATGACCTGCGAAAGGTACAGTGAGCTGATAGCACGGCTGCCACACGGCACGAGGAAGCCAAATGCAGATTTGGCGTTCTGGCTATTTTCAAACCAAGAGAAATCAGCAGCAGGGCACTTTTTAAAAAATTAAAATGAAGGTAAGGTGGATATTGCCATGCATAATAAATAGTATCCCAATTGAAATATTCATTGCTTTGGATATTCTGAGGAATATGAAGTACGAAAGTTTTCATAAAGCGTCTCAAAGCTGTTAAGCATTTATTTGCTTAACCAGTTGTTTGCACTTTCTCCTAGTAGTTCCCTGACACCAATGTAACAGACTATTTTCCCAGCTCCTGTTCCAGAACTAAATTACTAATGACCCAGGAGGCATTTGGCTCTCTATGGGAAAGCAGCACAATCTAATTGTGCTTGAGTGTCTTTTAGCTTCTCCTGAGCCGTCTCCTGCTAAGACAGGACAGTGACCCAGATCAGCCCAGCTGCTTGGCTTGCTAGAATGGCATTGCCAGCCCCAGGTGGGCCCCAGACATTTTTATTCTCGTGAGCAAGTTTTAAATGTGATGGATTAGATATGTTTATCACAGGATTCGCCTGGCCTTCCTCAGTCTAGGTCCCTCTTAGTTCCTGCGTGTGCGTGTGTGTGCATGATGTGTGTGCACGCGGGCGCCCGTTGGGAGACGCTCTCCATTAAGAACCGCTCGTTGTGCTTCTTGCAGATTGAAGAGGAGCTGGCTGCCCTTCAGAAGGAACGCAGCGAGAGAATAAAGTACCTACTGGAAAGGCAAGAGCGAGAGATTGAAACTTTTGACATGGAGAGCCTCAGAATGGGATTTGGGAATTTGGTTACATTAGATTTTCCTAAGGAGGACTATAGATGAGATTAAATTTTTTGCCATTTACAAAAAAAAAAAAAAAAAAGGAAAACAGAAAAAAATTCAGACCCTGCAAAACCACATTCCCCATTTTAACGGGCGTTGCTCTCACTCTCTCTCTCTCTTACTCTTACTGACATCGTGTCGGACTAGTGCCTGTTTATTCTTACTCCATCAGGGGCCCCTTTCCTCCCCCCGTGTCAACTTTCAGTGCTGGCCACAACCTGGCCGTCTCTTCTATTCATAGTACACGTCACAGTATTGATGTGATTCAAAATGTTTCAGTGAAAACGTTGGAGACAGTTTTAACAAAACCAATAAACCAACAACGACAACAACAAAAAAGTGGATGTATATCGCTTTAAGCAATCGCTCATTACCACCAATCTGTGAAAGTAAAGCAAAAAAATAATAATAAATGCCAAGGGGGAGAGAGACACAATATCCGCAGCCTTACACCTTAACTAGCTGCTGCATTATTTTATTTTATTTTATTTTTTTGGTATTTATTCATCAGGAATAAAAAAAAAACAAAGTTTTATTAAAGATTGAAAATTTGATACATTTTACAGAAACTAATTGTGATGTACATATCAGTGGTGACATATTATTACTTTTTTGGGGATGGGTGGGGTGGGTGGGGTGAAGAGATCTTGTGATTTTTAAGAACCTGCTGGCAAGAGTTTAACTTGTCTTCAGCATATTCTGATTGTATCATAATCATTTTCTGCTGTTGCAGAGGATGTGAATACACTTAAGGAGCTCACAGAATCCCAGTAGCACAAATTGGGCTTTGGCAAATCGTGTATTTTGTGTATAGAAGGAATTTAAGGAGAGGTATTACTTATTTTCATATTGTATTTTAACTGTTTCTCTGATCAAATTTTTTTACTTCCTCCTCCTGTTCCTCCCCACCTTCCTCCTTTTCCAATTCAGTATTTGGAGTTCAACGCTGTCTCTCAATCAGATCATCTTGATCTTTTTCTTTATTTCCCTTCCCTTTCCTAAGTCCCATATCTTGGTCATAAATATTGCATTATTCACACTTTCAAACTGTGTATTTTCTTACAATAAAAAATGATGAAAAAAAAAAGGCTTTACTTCTTTTGCATGCACTTTAAAAACAAAACATTTTTCAGGTTCCGAGGAAGAGCATGATAACTGTCAGAGCTTTTAATTATATTTGTAAATAAAAGTGTTCATCACATCGCCTTGCTGTGTTATTGTAGCAGGAGGTTTTCCTTCTAGGTTCACCAGTTACTAACTCCAAGGGAGAGCCGCCCTCCTGAGACTGTTCTCCACGGCCCCAGTGGCTCTAAGAAGAGCTATGCAGCATTTTCAGGTAAAGTTGTGTCTTCCAAGTTCCTCTACAGGGCTGAAGATGTTGCACTGTTTGAAGTGGGCAAGCGGTCGACTGTACCTTTTTTCCCTTAAGAACAGAAAAAGGTACATGTGTGCACACACACCCTGCCCACGGGTGCCAGTCGTGCATAGGAGCAGGTGTTGCTGAGACGTTGGGCACCCTTCAAGAAAGCAGGCTGTGGAGAGGTGTTACAGCCAAACATTTGGCGCCCCTCATATTCTGCTTTTATTAGAATAATTTTATAGGTATAACAATGAGATATGAAAATATAAAAAATATAACTTCTGGGCTATGAGTGTGGAGTCAGGACAGTAAGATCTCATGTTCTTAGGGTCGAAGTCCTGGACGTTGAAAATTGCTCTTGAGAATAACAACCCGAAGATCATTCTTAATATGCTACAGGACGTTCAGTTATCACAGACAAATGTGTCCAGTCATGTTTACTATGATGTACGAAAACAGTTATCAACATGGGTTAACCCCAGACCTAAAACCTTTTATAATTATCAGGTTATTGAAGTTTCCATATTAGGTACATCTAAAAATAATGTTGGAAAGGGCTAGAAAGATACATAATTATATAAGAAAAATAGATAACATGCATTGCATGCTTACGCTTACCATGTGGTGGGACACTACATTAGCATTTTACAGATGAAGACATGAGCTCAGTCCAGGGTGACAGGGTGAGTGGCAGGGTGAGTCTGAATCGAGACCTGTCCCATTTCAGAACCCACGCTACCCAAAAGGACATCCAGTCATCAGAAAGGCAGAAAAACTTCCTGTAGTTTGTTTCATCCATTTCTCTCTATGGTGAAAAAATGTCTAGCTAGCTTGTGAAAAGGCCCTGTGTCTGTGAGATTATAGGTGCTACCCTTTATAAAAGTTCCCTGTCCACAAGTTTGTCAGTGGTGTGTCCCAGGGCAGAGGTGTCAGAAAGGAGGAATGTGGGTCCCCGCTCCTAACACCTGGTACAGACCAAGTCTTGCAAATCCCAGTACCTGCCTGAGGAGGCTGTGAGGACAACAGGGATGAGGATGGCAGCAAGAGAACAGGTGGGACAGAGAGGACATCCAGTGTCCTGGATTCTTCCAGCATGTACTAAACTCCCCTGAGTTAAAAGAATTATTACAGGTTTGTCATGCATATTAGTAAGGAAAGGCTGCTTACCACTGATTGGCAATCGTTCATTCAGGGAATACTGACTGAGTACCTTATATGTTGCACCGTGCTAGCTTGTCTCCCGTTGATACTTGATACACCATTGTATCTCAAACAGGTGAAGATCCTAACCCTAATGGCACTTACATTAGGGTGGAAGGAAACTGGTAATAGGCAATAATTATGATAAATAATGATCTGGGCCTGGTGTGGTGGCTCACATCTGTAATTAAAGCACTTTTGGGAGGCTGAGGCAGGAAGATAGCTTGAGCCCAGGAGTTTGAGAGCAGCCTGCGCAACATAGCAAGACCCTGCCTCTACAAAAATAAAAAAGTTAGCCAGGCATGGTGGTGGTGCACACCTGTAGTCCCAGCTACTTGGGAATCTAAGGCAGGAGGATTGTTTGAGCCCAGGAGTTGAGGCTGCAGTGAGCTATGACGGCACCACTGTACTCCAGCCTGGGCTATAGAGACCCTGTCTCTAAAAATAAATATTAATAATAAAAATAAATGCATGGTGATAAATGCTATCAGTAAAGGGAAAAGGAGGGAAGGGTAAGGGAGATCTAAAGTGCCAGGATCAGCATACATTTACTCATTCTGTCAGGAAATATTTATCAAGCATCTACTGTGTGCCTGGGGGTATAACAGTAAATGAGATGGATGAGGTTGGCACTGTGCTGGAGGCTCATGGTTTAAATCTCCAGTGAGACAGAAGTAAATAAGGAATGGACTAGATTAATCCACAGTGACTAACAAGGGCCATGACAATGCAAGTGTTGGGTGCTACCAGGAGCTTAAAAGAACTCCAATAATTCCAGTCATAGGGGGTGTCAGAGAATGCTTATCAGTGATGTCTAATTAACTGGGTAAAAGAATGTATTTCTTGAATTTACCACCATCTGCAATTATTTGCTTATGTCTCTACTGGAAAAGATATTCCTGGGCAACTGGAAACATGCTCATATCATATTGCTACTATATTTAACGTAGTAGTATATTTTTCCATAGACGTGGTCAGATATAAAAAATACATTTTGGTTGTTCTAGTTTGGCATAGCAATTTGAGTCTCCCCCGCTGATTACAGCTAAAAACTAGACAAAATGCAAAAGCAACTCCATGAGGACACTCAGAAATAAAAGCAGGATTATGGAGAAGCAACCTAGTCAGGAATAAAAGTGAAATAAAACCATTCTCAGATGAAGAAAAATTAAGAGAATTTATTCCCAACAGACTTGATTTCCAAGAAATGCTAAAAGAAGTTCTTCATGCTGAAGGGAAATGATACCAGAAGGAAACTTGGATCTTTGGGAATGAAGGAAGAGCAACAGGAATGGTAAATATCTGAATAAATATAAAGGACTATTTTTTCTTCTTGTCTTTAAAACATATACAGCTGTTGAAAACAAAAATCATAACAGTGAGGGTTTTAATGTATGTAAATATAGTATCTCTAACAACTATAACATAAATGTTGGGGGTTAAAGGATCTATATGGTTGCAAGACTTCTACATTTTGCAGTAGTATAATTTTTATTCTAAGAAAACTAAAAAATTACTTTTATTTTAATCCCTAGAGCACCTACCAAAAAGAAAACCTAAAGAGTAATAGCCAAAAATCTAAAAGATAAAATATCCTAATAATCCAAAAGAAAGCAGGAAAGGGAAGAGAAGCTTTTTTTTTTTTTTTTTGTTATTACAGAGGTAATCCAGTTAAAAGGCTTATTTTTTTAAAGAAGGATAAACAGAAAACATAAAATAGTAGACCTAAAGCCCACCGTATCAATAATTACATTAAATGTTAATGTTCTCTAAGGCCAGTCATGGTGGCTCATGCCTGTAATCCCAGTACTTTGGGAGGTTGAGGCTGGAAGACTGCTTGAGGCCAGCAATTCAAGATCAGCCTAGGCAAGAGTGAGGTCCCATCTCTACAAAAAAATTTAAAAATTAGCTGGGCATGGTGGCGCATGCCTATAGTCCCAGCTACTCAGGAGGCTGAGGCAGGAGGATCGCTTTAGCCCAGGAGTGTGAGGTTGCTGTGAGCTATGATGATGCCACTGCACTCTAGCCTGGGCAACAAGATGGAGACCCTGTCTCAAAAAAAAAAAAAAAAAAAATTAATGGTCTCTAAACAGTCCAGTTAAAAAGGCAGAGATTGACAGAGTAGATAAAAAAAAAAGGGGGGCTATAGGCTGCCTCTAAGAGACAGACAAAATATAAAGACACAGATAAGTTGAAAATAAATGGAAAATAAATAGCAAAGCCTAAAAAGGCTACAGTGGCTACTTTAATATCAACTAAAACTGACTTCAAGACAATCCCAGGCAGCAGTTTGAGGATCTGAGGGGCAGCAAGTTTGGAGTTTAATGCGATGACAAGTGGCAGGAAGCTAGAAGTGACAAATGGAGGGCTCTGATCGTACAAAGCCTTAAAGGTTATGTTAAAGGTCTGGTCTGCATCCCGGGAGCAACTGCAAACTGCTGAAGGCTTTTCAGTAGACGCCGAGGCTGTCTGAATTTGCACCAACTTAAGAACAGAAGTCCTTTGCTCCCTGACCCCGGAAGAGGACCTGGGTCATGTACTGTTGTGTTTAAATATTGGATACACCAATCCTATGTTTTTGGGACTTGTTCTCATCTGTTCTTCAGGGTGTAATTTAGGGTTTCTGGCGTTGAGGTGTTGAGGTGTTGCATATTATGTTCTGCTGTGAAGCCAGGATGCTGAGCAGTTCCTAAAGTTCCAGAGACGTTAGAAATACTGGGCTCTGGCGGGGCTGCTAAGCCCGCACTGTGATAGAGTCGTGGGAAACGCATAGCCAGGAAACAAACCTGAGGAAACCGGGCTTTTGTACTTGGTTCCTACACCCATCCTGTCAAGTTTTATCATTTACATATATTAATTATCCACTCAATCGCAACATCTCCCCAACAACCCTGGGAGGTATTATAAATAAGGCAGATTGCTGACCCTCCAGCCTGTTTTCTCAAGTGAGGCTGGAATTTGTGGCCAGGTGGGTATGGTGGTGGTGAGCTGGGCTTTGAGGCCAAGGGTGGGTTCAGAACCAGGGTCACCCCCTTCCCTAGTGAAGTGCCCTTGGGCAAACTCATGTTGCCTTCCTATTTAATAGTGAAACACAGTACCTCCCCATTTCTAAGGTTATTAATATGTTTTGTCATGTGTATTATATTTTTTATGTGAAATTCTTTTGCATATACCTTCTTTGGGTGGGTTATTCACCTTTTTCTGAATCATTTGAGTCTACATCTGTTTTAGACAAGGAAGGTAAGATTACTATAGTTCCTCATTCATCTTCAGACTGTATGACCAAAAAAAGTACTTGTGATTAGCAAAAGTCTTGTAAAAATAGTTTAGAGAGGCCGGGTGCGGTGGCTCACGCCTGTAATCCTAGCACTCTGGGAGGCTGAGGCGGGTGGATTGTTTGAGCTCAGGAGTTCGAAACCAGCCTAAGCAAGAGTGAGACCCCGTCTCTACTAAAAATAGAAAGAAATTAATCGGACAACTAAAAATATATATAGAAAAAATTAGCCGGGCATGGTGGCGCATGCCTGTAGTCCCAGCTACTCAGGAGGCTGAGGCAGGAGGATCGCTTGAGCCCAGCAGTGTGAGGTTGCTGTGAGCTAGGCTGACGCCACGGCACTCACTCTAACCCGGGCAAAAGAGTGAAACTCTGTCTCAAAAAAAAAAAAAAAATAGTTTAGAGAAAAAGAGTACATGATTTTAAATATACATAAATATCAAATTGTCAAAATGTTTAAAGTTTGAGAAGACTGAGGGTATGAAAAAGCAGGTACATTCATGTTCTATTAACATAAATGTAACCCGTGTGATGTTTTTGGAGGGCAGTTTCCCAGTATTATTAAATGGAATTGAAAATGTATATACCCTTTGACCTAATTATTTCAATACTTAAAATTTACACTACAAAATTACTTGCAAAAATATTTTATACATATAGAAAAATGTTCACTAACGCACTGTTTATAATAGCAAATAACCAGAAATAATCTAAACATCATAGTAGGGGACTAGAGGACTGGTTAAATATATTATGGAACATTCGTAAAAGCGAGTATTTCAGGCCAGATGCAGTGGCTCACACCTGTAATCCTAGCACTCTGGGAGGCCAAGGCAGGAAGATCACTTGAGAGCAGGAGTTTGAGATCTGCCTGAGCAAGAGTGAGACCCCCGTCTCTACTAAAAATAGAAAAAATTAGCCGGGCGTGGTGGTGCACACACCTGTAGTCCCATCTACTTGGGAGGCTGAGGCAGGAGGATCGCTTTAGCCCAGGAGTGTGAGGTTGCTGTGAGCTATGATGATGCCACAGGACTACTCGCTGGGCAAC